TGCATTTGACCACAAAGTCTACTCACATACCAAGCACCGTGCCAGGAAAAGTACCAGACACCTCAATCGCTTACCCGTCAATATCATTGCAAGGAGAGTATGTACTCCCGCTAACTGCGTGGAGTACTGATTAAACATTCCAGTAATGTTACACGCCAGCTAATACTATTTTGCACATACAAAACAATTATGGAACAATACATAGCAATTACCCCCGTTACCAACATATACAAAGAAACACAGTGCTCAACTTAAAACACTTCATTTTGAACATATATAATAATTATACACGAATACATAACAATTATCTCCCTTTACCAATATATACAAAGAAACAAATTTGGATACATAATATATACAAAATAGTATATTTTGGGATATGTCATATATACAAACTTGTATATTTTTGTATATCTCATCATTCCAAACTTGTATATGCTTTGGATATATCATCATTCCAAAGCATATACAAGCTTGTATAAATGGATTTTTTTGCAGTGTAGGCTACCCGACCGCCCCTTATGTGATAAAATATTGTTATGTTGGAATATTTGGCCAAGCTGCATAAATTAACACTGTGAAACAAGAAGAAGTATAAATCAATGATAATAGAAAACAAAACTGTTGGCAGCTTGTGAGTATGACAATTTAATGCACCAATTTCTCTCAATACAAATACTGGTAGTTAATTGTATTAAATAAGCATGCACACCAGGGTCCATTTGCACAAAGCGATCTTAGCGCTAATACTACTGTAAGCCTATGTTAAAGTATGGGAGTTACGATCATCTTAGTTCTAAGATCGCTTTGTGCAAGTTGGCCCAGGTGGTTTTCAACAAAACAAACTCCAAAGATCGATTTCATTATGCTGAGACAATCGATTTCAAGTTCAGCAGATGTTTATCAGGTGTTCGGAAAGGGTCGATGAATATCTTCAATAACATAATGATTCAGGTTACTTTCGACGAAGTTGGGATCGATCAATGATTTTTATTAGCCTCTCGAACTGTGATATCATACGGGTGTTAATCGTAATTGAAATAACTTAATATTATTTCGGTATGTAGGACCTAATATACTCGGTTCTGAAAGATATGCCAATTATTTGACTGAAAACAAATACGATAACTGATAGAAAAAGCAAATGGGGTCTAATCAAACACGAGAAAGTGTGCGTTTTTTTTATCCATCCATATCATGCCAACACTGTTTTGCCAATTACGCCCAATGAAATCTGTTTCAGCAGATAATCGACGTTTTATATTAGACGTTTACCACTTCGGTGAAATCCACCAGCACGGGTATATATTGTAGCGAGACGGGATAATAGTTTTCAGGCACGCCTGAAGAAAACTGCACAGAAAATTGTGATGCCTTAGAGAACTGGGCAAAACGTGCGCCAACGTTTCTAAAATATTTTAAAAATAACTTTGCGTGAGTACTGATTCACAACGTTTGTGATGTTTTGATATTTTTGGCATTGTGAATTAGCACGTTTCCTTGGATACTTGAATATTCAATATAAATATGTTTTTGAGTTATGTGACAATTTCAAAATATTACATTTATCACTCAAACAAAAATGGTTCTGACATCTTAGAAATAGCGAGGAATAAGGTTTGAAGTAAATATAGGTAATCATAAGATAGTCAAGGAGACTCTAAAAGAAACATTACATGAGTATGCTGATAGCAAATATACTGAAGAGGAAATTGATTCTCATATTAAAAATTCAACATTGCAACTAAAAATTTCTAATTGTCTTTTTCTGGAAACTTTCTTAATGAAGCTAAGAGGTAAAACTATCTCTTTCTCTTCCCTTTAAAAGAAAGATAAGAACAAGAAACTAAAAGACTCGGGAGAAAATATTAGGGTTCTGGAAGATAAAATAAGAGATGATTTCCAAAATATAGATGAAAAAATATTTTCCGATTTATCAACAATGAAAAAACACTTAGAAAAATACCATGAAGAGGAGGTAAAAGGATCCCTAATTAGGAAAAGAATAACCTGGTATGAAGAAGGAGAGAAACCTACAAGTTATTTTTGCCACCTTGAAAATAGACATTATACCACTAAACTAATTAATAGCATTAAAACAGAAAAGGGTGAAATTATTACAGATGGTAAAACAATCTTAGATGAATTAAAGGACTTTTATTCTAAACTATATAAACAGACCTACAATCATAATAATGTTAATAATAACCTGTTAGAAGAAATCAACACACCAATAATTAATGCAAAAGAATATCATCATCTATGAAAAATAATAAAAGTCCAGGAATAGACGGTTACCCTATTGAGTTTTTCAAATTTTTCTGGAATGATTTAGGAGAATGGATATTTAGATTCATACAGGAAACCTTAGATGACAACTCATTATCATGTACAATGAACAGGGGAGTTATCACCTGTCTTCCAAAACCAAACAAAGACAGAAAATTGTTAAAAAACTGGCACCCAATCTCATTACTAAACGCTTCATGTATTGCTAATAGAATTAAAAAACCTTAAATACAATCATACACCATAACCAAACAGGATTTATTCCAGATAGATGTATAAGTGAAAACACTAGGAAGCTCTATGATATCGTCTTTGAAACTAAAAGACTGGCCTACTCCTATTAATAGATTTTGAAAAGTAATGACAAAATTTGGTTTTGGACCGAATATCATTAAATGGGTAGGTATTTTGACTTTTAATACCACTGCATCTGTTATTCAAAATGGACATTATATCATCATTTTTTAGGTTTGAGAGGGGATGTAGACTAGGAGATCCAATTTCACCCTATTTATTTATTATCGCTGTAGAAATTCTAGGTATTATGATAAGAACAAATCCAGATATAAAAGGTATAACAATTAACGATAAGGAAAGTAAACTAGGTCAGTATGCGGACGATGCTCAATTATTTCTAGATGGATCTGAAAAAAGCCTCAATACTTCAATGGATACCCTCAACAAATTCTATCAAATGTCAGGACTTAAAATAAATGTAGAAAAAACAAAAGCAATTTGGATAGGATCATTGTCTGAAAGTAATGTAGTTTTAGCCCAAGACTTTAAACTTGATTGGCATAAGGGAGATTTTGAAATTTTAGGGATAACTTTAAATACATCATTGAACAACCTTTGGGTAATCAATACTAAAAAAAGAATAGAACATATTAATAGACTACTAGCTAATTGGCGTAGAAGAACCTTAACTCTTATTGGAAAAATTACGGTTATCAAAACTCTTGCTATATCAACTCTGGTACACATCTTCTCTGCTCTACCCAATCCACCTAAAGCTCTTATTACCGACCTAAACACATTAATTTTTAGACTTCTTTGGAATAACAAAAACGACAAAATTAAGAGATCAACTATTAGTAGAAATTATGAAGATGGAGGTCTAAGGATGATAGATATTGAATGTTTTATCAATGCTCTCAAACTATCTTCATTACAAAAGTATATAAAAAAGTATGAAGATTCTACAACAATCTTCCCTCTAAAACATCTTTTCAAACTTGGTTCTAATGCTGTAGAATGTTTATCTAAACATGACAACCCTTATTGGAGAGATGTATTGTCTGCTTGGAAGATATTTTACCAAAAAATGAGTTTGTATGAATATGATTTAGACCACATTCTGAATCAACCACTCTGGCTGAATCATTTATTTAAATCATCTTATAAAAGAACTGGTTTAATCAAGGTGTCCAGAGTGTTAGAGACCTTTGCGACAACAACGGTTTTCTTAGTTTTGAAAATTTCAAACAAAAATATGTGATCCAGGGAACTTTTCTAGACTTTCAAAAATTACTGAACAATATTCCAAAGAGTTGGAGATTTCAAATCAGAGACAAAACCCTTGATGTTAATGTAGTTCAGCTGAACAATATATGTAAACACTTCTTTAATAACGTTAAAAAATCAAGGACTTTTTATGATGAACTAATTAGGAAGGATACTGTACCGAAATCATTAGAACACTGGAATATGGTTTTTCCTCACGGTTTGGATTGGAAAGATGTACTTCTATGTTATAGAAAATGCACGCGCGATTGTAAACTTTTAGATTTTCAATATCGATTTATAAACAGAATAATTTACACTAAGAAAGAATTATTCAAGATGAAACTTATCGATGAAGATATTTGTACTTTCTGTAAAACTGCTTCTGAAGATATGTCTCATGTATATTTCGATTGCCAATCTGTTCAACAATTTTGGCCTAAAGTTGAAAACTTCCTAAATAACAACCTGCAAACAAATTTTATCCTTTCGAAACTTAATATCTTTTTTGGTATTTCCACTCAAAACCATGTAACAAATCATATTATTATATTAGCAAAAAGATTCATCTACATATCAAACATAAAACAACAAGATTTATCTTTCGAGCAATTTCTTTCACTACTAAAAGACACAATTTGTTTGGAAAGTTTTATCGCTAAAAAAAATCAATTCAACCAATATGCTCAGAAATGGCAAAACTTACATCTCATTATCTAACGAAACAGTTGAAACATACTACCTGTTAATTAGTAATCATCTATTTCCCTGTAAACAAATATTTATAATCTCCCTCTCAGTTTGAGAAGACGACATATCCTACACAACCTGCCTGTCCTCACCTATGAAAACTATAACTTGTGTTAATACTGTCATATATATACATGTTAATACCTACACTTGTAACAATATACATGAAATGGAATAATAAAAAAATATATAAAAAAAATATTTAAAAAATATAGGTAATCATAGGAATAATTGGTAAATCTGCAACGCGTGATACTTTACATGTGCATGCATGACCACTTTTAAGAACCGAATTGAAACTTACTGATAGAGTGGAACAAACGTTTGCAAGTTGACAGAACATCTCTGTCAATATGAAGGTCAGTTGCATTTTAAAAGGTAACAAATGAGAGATTAAGGCACGACTGTCACAATGTTCCAGCACAGCAATAGGTTTGGCGATATGACATATTTGTTACCTTCACTTGAAATCATTTCACTGATTTGGTTGTTCGTGTATCCAATTTGATCCTGTGCAGTATAGAGAACTACTGCTGCAATCAGTGCGGCGCCTACAAGAGCTGTGACCACTGTCTTTGTCCCGAGAGCCATGGTAACCGAGTGCGCCATCAAACCCTGTCACGACGTTTTACCATTCAGATGCAACACCTGTTTGAGCATGCGTGGACTCATCGATTGGTTGTTTTATCGATAATATTGCAGGACAGTCTCAGCTTTCTGGTAACCGTACTGTACATGTATATGTAGCGTTTGTTTGTTTGTTGTTTAACGCCGCACTCAGAATTATTCCACCTATATGACGGCGGTCTGTAAATAATCGAGTCTGGACCAGCCAATCCAGTTATTGACATCATGAGCATCGATCCACGCAATTGGGATACGATGACATGCATCAACGAGCCTGGTCACCCGAATCCGTTAGCCGGCTCTTACGACAAGCATAGTCGCCTTTTATGGCAAGCATGGGTTGCTGAATTATGTAGTGAACATGGTTTATTTTTAAATAATTATGTAATAACGTCGTCTTCATTATTCCATTTCGATGTGGGATTATTAAGCTTGATGGTTCTGTTATAGTGCAAACCATTTCAATACTTTTACTTAAATAGTGCAAACCTTTTATTTTACATTTCATTTATCTAAATACCTAACTGGTTCAATATGTTTCCAAGTGCACCGAAATTCTAAGCCCTTTGTCTGCTTAATACATTCAGCAAACATTCGGCGTATCCCCTCTTATCATAAGCCCATCCGGGCAGGACCCTTAATCTCCAGCGCTATCTATATATTTTAATTAACACCTCCTAACGTCGCCGGATCTTACGTATATACATACACGTGGGACAATGACCTTGCCACACGTTACGTAATACCTTGCTCTACAAAACCCGACTGACATGGTCAGTCAGGGAGACAGCCACAAGATCGACTCGTGTAAGTGACAGAACGGTTCTTCCAACCGGGAAGATTGGCCACGCGGTCCCGGTGTGCGTTCTGTCATGTTATTATCAACATGTACCTTTTCGAATTATTCCAAACCGTCAACAATAAACATGGCTGCTGTCGTCTAAACTTCACCCTGAGTTTTGTCTTCCGTCATCACCCTGAGCCACCATCCGAGGGCCGAAATTTACGCCCTTGGACAGTTCTGACAAGATTATAACATGGACTGTTTTAAACGGCTGAAATTGTTACCATGAGGGTAATTCTATCGTCGGAAAGATACACACCCTCAGTGCTATTTACTGATAAAATTATTAATTAGTTTTTTGTTTTTCTTAAACGTTTTTATTGTTCCCAGAGTTGTAGATTAATATAGTATTCCGTCAAAGACATATTTCGGATTGCACAGAATGGCACAATACACTCTTTAAAAAATTAAAGGGTTGGAAACTAACATTGTTCTATTTCAAACCAAAACGGTTGCAACACATGTACACAATCAGACTCAAACATATCATATATCAAGCTATGAATCAAATGCTGAGAATAAAGGTGACCATTTTTTGGTAAAGTTATTTTTGTCATCCTTTTCTATAGCAATAAATTTCTGAATTGAATATATGTTTTTAAATAGTTTGAAAGTATATCTAATTTCGGTTTGGTTCCTTTAATTCCACTTACATGAATATTCCCTTTTCCCAATAAAACTATATGATTGATTAAAGTGTTAGAGTAGTTAGAACCAAACCAAATAAGATATTTTGTCAATTATTTTTTTTGTGAGGGATAACTGTTACGCCAAAGTTCGAGATCATTCCAAAATGGTTTAGTTTCATTACATTCCCAAAAGACGTGGCTGACGTCCTCATTGACAGCATTACAAAAGCTACAAACACTGTTGTCCACAAGATTCATTGTTAATAGTTCCTTCTTTGTGTAGATAATTCCATGTAGAAATCCGTATTGAAAATCTAAAAGTTTTACATCCTTCAGTTTATATCTATAAACAGTAAATGTCGTTTTCCAATTAAAATCACAGTGAAAAATTGATTGTCATTTATCACAAACTTTAAGATTATTTACATTTGATATTAATTTATCATAAAAGATTCTAGCGCCTTTTACAGGCTTCATCAGATCACTTAAGCAACTGTTTTTATACAAATTCTGTAAAATTATTTTTCTAGTTTATCTTGATTGTTGTTTTCCATGATTCTGGTATATTGAGGATTACATATCTATAGTCTAATATTGTACCTTTTATCGGATATTTTAGTTTCAGTTCTTCAAATGACATCAGTCCGTTTTCATTGCATATATCTTTAATTGAGTAAATTCCACTATTAGCCCATTGCTTTATGTAGCATGTTGCTTGTTTGAAGTTGTGGTTAAGCCATAATGGTTGGGACAAAAATTCTTCGATATTATCAACGTTAATAATATTATTTTTACAAAAGTTGTTCCAAGCTTTCAATACATCTTTCCAGTATGGGTTTTTAACAAAACATTGCTTGTCAAATTATTAATTAGTTGGTAAGCTTCACTTGGTATGTTAGGAGCAAAATAGGTGTGACTGTAAAGACACATGGTGTAATAACCCACAGTGGTTTATTACATGACAAATTATAAACGTGAAAATGACCACATTTTACAAACGTTATGAAAACGTGTCATGGCTGAAAACAGATGCTGAACCATTGTTGATCTGTCCCTCTTCAGGACTCGTGTGTGTGAATAGGGTACACATATCTATTGTGTGTTTTAGTATTGATACAATTTCTGTTTTTCTTGTATTGATTGGATGGCTTTGGAGACATGGTTTTCAATTGGAATTGGTGTTTTGGGAAAAATTATTGCATAAACGTCTCATATAATCAACACAAGTGCTCTACTTTATGGATGTCATCTTCTTTATTATGAGGAACGATGTGTGTCTCATAATACCGACATTCAAAACTTCTCTTCCTTACGTGTATCACATCGAAATACCATTCAAAGACTTGACGTGCTCTACTTGCAAAACTCCACACCCCGCTCCAAAACTTAGCTTTGTTCCTCAGTATTTCAACTATACTTACATTTCTTGATTTTAAAAAACCGTTATTAATCTTATTCCATTGCTATGTGTTGATGTGAATAAATACTCTACTATTAATCTCTATATTGTAGCGCGGTCTAATGTTGTCCCACCCTACACACACCTCTGCCGTAGATAGTCTCTCCCAAAATGAGTCTACGGATCAGCGACCACACGAATTACGCTGAGTCATAATGATAACCCACTCATACATTCAGGCATCCCGAACTAACACTTCAAAAGGTCACGGGAAATGAACAACGTTCTGTGTGTTTGAATATATACTCAAGTATCAATCTCTATATTGTAGCACGATCTTATGTTGTCCCAACCCAAACAAACCTCTCCCATAGATAGTCTCTCCCCAAAAGATTGTGCGGGTCAGACAAGAATTACGCTGATTCACGATGATAAACCACTCATACATGGCTAAACAATTCAGGCGTCCCGAACTAACACTTCAAAGGGTCACGGGATAGGATCAACGCTCTGTAAAGAAAACGTCCCATTTATCAGGATAACAGATTGTGACTTGTCAAAATAAAAATAAAAGTCATGTCTCCAACTTGACATCCCTTCACCTCGCACTTGTGTCGATTCACAGTTTACAGACAGTGTTTTCATATAACTCCTCTGTGGTGTATGGACGCACGAGTGCCATTAAATTTTGCAAACGGATTAAGTTTTTACACACTGTTTATGGTCTGTGTTTGCTTTCTGCTTGCACGATATGGACATGTAGCAGCCAGGAGGATTGCCATGTTGTCAAAACACAGGCACATACATTTTGTGGCTAATTGTGTGAGTTGCAATATCTGATTCTGTTTGTTTATTATTTTTTTTAACGTCGGACTCAGCTATATATAGGACGGATGCCTTTAAATAATCGAATCTGGATCAGACAATCCAGTGATTGACATCATGAGCTTCTCTCTACGAAATTGGGATAGGATAGGATATTGGGATGTATCAACCAACCAATTCAACCAGTCTGACCACAAGATCCCGTTAGTTGCCTCTCACGACAAGCATAGTCGCCTCTCACGTAAAGCATGGGTTGCTACAGAACAATTCTAACCAGGATCTTCACGGGTAGCTCGTGTTATCTGCCAATAATTATATAACAAATTTCACAATTTATACTATACACCATTACGTCGGATATACACTGAAGCAAAACGTAAGGAACCACCCCTAAAACCCGACTATGGGTTATTTAAATATTAAATTACCGCTTCGTACCTGTGATTCGGGATAATTGATCGTTCCTAATTCGTTATAGCTCTAAATAGTGTTCATTCATGTCGTCTGATTATCGCTTAAAGATCAAAGGCACTGTGAGTACTTTCATCTGTGATACCGGGTCCTCATCCTTTAGATATAATGGTGCAGGGCCAAACTATACCTCATTAAAGAACACATGGGGCTAGAGCAATCTTTATTAGTTAATTACAAAGCACGTGTACCTTTGTCTTATGAAACTTGTGTCCTCTCTATCATGTGCTTTATCCAAAGTCCACCATTCTCACGTTTGTCATTGTTCATGGCGTTACGAATATGGCATTATAAACATAATACTAGACTAACACTTAGTCAATAAAAACATGTCTATAAAATAATTAAAAAATTTTTTTTCGAAAGATCTTTCCTCTTCTGCTGTGAGCAAACTAGACTTGGTTAGTTTGATCTAGACTTGCCTAGGCTCTTAGTTACAGAAAATACCTACAAAAATATTAATTCCACAGTCACGGTGCAGGACTAACACGATACAAGCACATGGTTTACATGTAGGCATTAATCTTTATTTGACTGTCGATGTTATTACACACACTGATATGGAGACGGCTGGAATATTGCTGAGTGCGGTGTTAAACGGCACTCAAACACACAAATAAACAAACATTATTGAATATAGATATGGAAAGTAATAATGCGTTAATGGTAAATCGTAAGTTCGAAATATGTATAATTTCTATTTTCTCAAATCTAACCCCTTAAGTTTTCATGTTGATGATTCCTTTTTTATTTTTTGGTTTTATGTCCATGTTTTCAGGTACAGGTAAGCAACAAATGGTACATTATTGTTACAGTATGCATATTATATTTGACTTAATAGAAACAAATACATTTATTATGCATTCAACATATTGCTGAAATTGTCATCGAAAGCTATACAAGCTAGCTGTGTATATATACAGATACATATCGTTTTCCTAAAAAGGTACATATAAAATGATAACTAGAATGAACATCACAATAAAAAACGCGTATAGGTTTTAGAAACATTATGGGTCGTTAAGACATGTTTATACTTAACTTAGAAATAAGGTAAAATGAGGTAATTGAGCAAATTACTTTATTTAAACAGTAAGTATAGAGATGGCCAGAAGGAAAATAACTTTCTTTTTCTCTACTAGAAAAATAAATAAATTTAGTAAAGTCATAATACCTTATAATATCTCGTTTTATGTGTTCAACATTTGGTGTATTTTTTTTTCTGCTAGATCTATACATAATTTTCTTAACCAATAATATGATTACATAAAAGGATTGTTGTTTTTACCTTTAATGCCTGATTTTGTATGATTCTCTACTATATAGCAAGGTAATTTTACAAATTTGGAATTCGTAAACGTAAAGCGTAAACTCTGATTGAGACCAATCAAATTTCCATTCCATACATTTCAATTTGTACCTTGTTCACGTGTTAGAACCAATCCCAGTGAGTTTGGTTTTGTCATTACCCTTTAAACGCGAGAAACTTGCAAATAACTGCAATGTATGTAAGACTGCATAGAACCATCTACAGTTAGAGTAGTATCGTCAGCCAATTGTGATGGTATATACTCAGTGTTTCCTAAATTAATTCCCTTTATCTTTTTATTATTCCGAATCGTGATTCCTAGGATTTCTACACAAAGCATAAAATGGTACGGGACTATCGGATCTCCTTGACACCGCCCGCGTCCTATTTTAAAGGATGACGTGACAAAATCGTTTACTAATGAAAACTCTGGATTCAATATCATTATTAAGAGTTTCTATCGACTGAGTAATTCTAAGTCCAAAGTTAAAACAAACTTCAGGACATTAGCAACATATTGTCTGTCAACTGAATCAAATATATTCTCAAAATCAATCAAGAGAAGCAGCCTGGGAATTTGAAAAGTTTCAGTATGTTCCATTGGATCATACGTGTATATAAATCTGGTTACTTCTCCAATGTTGATGATTCCTGATAATTTATTCTTTTAAATATTCTCAACTGGTTTTAAAGCAAATCTTTGATAACATAGTTATTGTACTGTGCATTGATGATAAATTTTTATTTCATCTAAATATATGTATTATTGTAAATGTATAATTTTTTTCTCGTCACGATATGGCTGGAAAATTAGCAGTGTGACGTTAACTTTTAAGTCACTAACTCATGTTGATGATTCTTTGAAGAGTTTTTGAAATGTCCGCACCTGGAATATACATGTACGTGGGATATTATTATTCAAAAGCCCATAAGCTTTGGTTTATTGAAGTAGCGTTAATCTCTTGCAGGTGCTTTACCCCATGCCTTGACGTCCTCTATTGTCTGGGGAAGTTCTCGTCCCTCTGCTTCAGGGAGCATATAATTGAGCGCGGCTGTTACCAAACACGCTACCCCGAAAATAATTCCAGGAGCCCAGGGTGCAATAGCTGCCTGAAAAAAGTTTACGGTACAATTAAAAGATTTGAACGATTGTATCAATCGAGGCTTAAGTTGCCAATTTACAAGCACATGTACATGTACAAGCAAATGTAGGTAGAGTCATGACAGCCTGAAAACATACGCTGATCTTACTGCTCTACAGTTACAAGTAACACAACGCAACGGTATGAATATGCCATTGTATTGATAGATGTCATCATAATGACATAACTTGTTTCTCACGATCATAACTTGTAGTGTTATTAATTAGGAAAGTTTCATTAAAGGAAGTCATACGGAAACAGGTGGCAAAGAGAAGGTAAATGTTGATTCTCACCAGTATAGATATGAAAGGTGCGATCATCCCTCCAACCCTCGCAGCTGTAGAACCAGATCCCATACCAGCCGATCTGTCGAATAGTTAGAAATGTAAGTAGATATATACACTTACAATGTATACCTGAGTATCCACATCTTAATGCATGCCTCGGCTACGGCATAAATCCCTTACATTCTCGATGTTCATGACCAAAACATATACTTCGTACGAAGAGAAACTGTGCTTTTATGCGATATGTTCAAATCCGATCTGTCATAGCGTTTCATCAACGTCATATACCCGGTGCTGTTGTGCAGCAGGACAATGTACATCGACCCAATGCAGCAGTCGTATAGCAGTTTCGTCAACAAACCAACATACACATGCTTCCCCTCCGGCTGCTGCCCCTAATGTCTCTCCCATCGAAACTTTTGTTTGTTTGGTTGTTTGTTGATTGATATCAGGAACATCGATCCACGCAATTAGGATTCGATGACATGTACCAACCAAGTCATCGAGCCTGACCACCCGATCCCGTTAGTCGCCTCTTACGACAAACATAGTTTTTTGCAGCAAGCATGGGTTGCTGAAGACCTATTCCATCCCGGATCTTCAGGGGTCAAAGCATCTGCCCAGGGAGCAAAAGGTCGGGGTTCGATCCCTGGTCGAGTCATACCAAAATACTGTAAAAGGTACCTGGAGAAAACAAGAACTGGCCGACTTGGAGTCAGTATGTTGTGTCTGATACGGATGGGCGATCACTATAAAGATTGTCCGAACTAGTACAAGCAGACACAGACACACGCACGCACACGCTGACACACACACACACACACACACACACACACACACACACACACACACACACACACACACACTAATTCTATTCCGTCGGTAACATCCTCATTATGTTCAGATATTGTATAATGCACGTCGGTATGGAAGTGCGATAATCTTTGAACGCGACGTTACAGCCCACATCATCTCACCAAACCTCAACATGTATGGGGTGAAATAGAGCGACCATCCCCATGATAACGTTCGAGATTTGGCAGATGCACTCACAAGGATAAGGAATGCCATTCCATAAGACTTCCTTACGAATCAAGCGTGGTCCTTCCGACGCAGATGCACTGCAGTGATCCATGCTCAGAGTGAACACACTCAATACTAACTTTGTGAATTCGTGCATTCATCCCCTGTGATTTCGTAAGGACATGACAGGTATGTCAGTGTCAGGTTCATGTCAGAAATTGTTACATCGGGTAAATAATTAAACGATCATGATCTACAATGTACTTGTCACTTTTCGTTTGGTTGACTCAACATTTGTGTTAATGTACTGCACACCTATACAGTTTCTTTTTGTGGGTTGTATATAATATAATATATTATATTTATTGTCGAGTTATATTTATTTAAAAAAAAGATTTGCAAGGAGAAAATTCAAAACAGAACTTAGGAATACCTTTGACCATTGACCATTACGTAATAACCTCTCACGTGATGAGAACAAGCATCTAGCAATGAGAAGCCGCAATGATGAAAGGAAGCACTGGTTCCTCTTGACATTATTTGCATGTTCATGTATTTATACTGTATGCTTGGCAACATAACCAATAAACGCGAAAAGTATACACAGCGCAAATAAACCGATAACATTTACACTGCACCCTGGACATAATACATGTTTCCTGATGCATTTAACCAAGGGAAAAGGTAGCTGTGTCTTGTGTAACTAACCTGAGATTTGTCGGGAAGATCTCGGGCGCATACACAAACATTGCATTGAAACAGGCACTGTTACCGATCTTCCCTATGAAAGCCAAGACTGTTGCTGCCGTTGACGCTGCTTGTCCGACTGAAGGTCAAAACATTAAACAATTAACCGAAACATGTTCTATGTGTAGGGGAACAGATTAATCTGCATCAACTTTCCTCCACTTTGAGCTCACACGCCATGATAGAACCGAAATAATGTCCGAAGCGGTGTTTTACATAACCTTCTCACTTCATTTGTAAGTTGTGTTTGTTTGCCTGTTGTGTAACGCCTCACATACATCAACCAATGTCACCGAGCCTACAACCCGATCCCGTTAGTCGCCTCTGACAAACATAATCGCCTCTTACGGCAAGCATAGGTTGGCGAAGACCTATTCTAACCCGGATCTTCAGGGGAGCTAAGTAGGTAAGTAAAGTAAAGTGCCAATAAATATATAACCAATCTCATGGCTGTGTTAAATTAACAAAAGGTTAATATTCTTTCCACCATTATATCGGATAGATACTTAAGAAAAACGTAAGGGATCATGAGAATACTTTCATATGTGTATGAAATTGTGTGCTGTCTTCACTACAAAAGAATATGCTCAAAATATTAATGATTTCAACTCATTTTGTTCAGTATGTTCACATCTACATCAAGTACGCGTAAAGCATTTAAATTGAATATAATATTCAATTTAATATCTTCGGACATAGCCTATTAATAATAATGTTGACTACGCTTGACTAAGTTTTCGAAAGAATATTTACAACCAGTGCAGCCCAGTTTGTGGTTTACATCGAAGGCTATTGCTGCATTTTCTCGATTTTTTCCTAGAATGTTTTGTTTGGTTGTTGTTTAACGCCGCACTCAGCAATATGCCAGCTATATGTAAATAATCGAGTCTGGAACCGACAATCAAGTGATTGACATCATGAGCATTGATACTCATAATTAGGATACGACGACATCCATCAACCAAGTCAGCGAGCCTGACCACCCGATCCCGCTAGTCGCCTCTTACGCCAAGCATAGTCGCCTTTCATGACTTAGATTTTGTCTTGCATCAATCAGCATTGCAAATAATCAACAAAATCTCACCCACAAATGTTCTGATTGCTGTTGCCGAAAGAAGACATACACCGGCCAGTACATGGAAAAACATGAAAAACACTCTCCTTCCCCACCTACAACATAGAAACAGTAGATACAACTGTTTGATATAAACGGTTTTTTCCAAAGAAGAAACTGATTTGATGCAAGTGACTCTGTCTGCAAGCAATCACATAACCTCCTTGCAATTGCATTATTGTTAAACATGTTTTGTTTGTTTGTCGTTTAACGCCGCACTCAGCAATATTCCGGCTTTATGACGGCGGTCTGTTCAATAATCGAGTCTGGACCAGACACTTCAATGATTGACGCCATGAGCATCGATGCACGCGATTGAGATGTTCAACATGTATTTAATTTAGGCATGGTGGGGTATACAGTACACAACTTTTCTTTTTTGAGGAAATTGAAAACATGATGCACATAAAACATACCTTTTCCCGACAAACAAGTTAAGTGGTCCTGATGGTATTTCAGCCAGCGAGTTGAGGAAAAAGTTCAGATAGTGATCATCAGCAAGGGACGAAGAGGTAAGATAGAGGCTGAAGTACGTCAAGCTGTCAATCAACCTGCAATGTTAAAGCTTCAATAATAAGAACCTTTGGTTCTCTTTGGTTATTGGTTAAAAAGGAGTCTCAGGTTGCAGGAATTGACAAACGAATTCTCCTGCTACGATATGACCTCAATAACTGCATTCGTATATTTTAGGGAAACATGCATCTCTGACCACTAGCCCTATCTACTTCATAAACTACGATAACAGCTTTGTAAAATTAATGTTATTGATATGTATTAATCTTATTGATATTACTAATATTATTGATAATATGTAAAATGTGCACATTCGAGTTTTAGTGACTGAGTGAGTTTAAAATGGCTTTAAACAGTATTTTGCAAATAACATGTCAGCTTAATGTGGGATAAAAGACTTATGTATTGCAGGTCATAAAATTTTACAACTTTGGTGAAACTATGGTGCCGAAAAAAACCCAAGGATAAATGCAGATCTTGAATCCTCGGATTCTGGCCCGACTAAGATCCCCACAGCTAATTTAGGTGCATCAAATTATTGGACCACCTGAAAGGGGTTACTACCATTGACTGACCTGGCTATTTATTAACCTGTTGCAATAGTGAAATAGTGTTTTCTTCCACCAAGTATTTGTATACTCACCAGGAGAACCACACGACAGCACATATCTTCAACATAAACTTGGTCCGCACCAAGTCAAGGCAGCTGTATTTCACTACTTCTGTATGTTTCTCTGGTGTTTCCGCATATTTACTCTTCGTGCTGCTCAGTTCAACAGGTGCTGTTTCAGTTCCAATACCGGGCAATGGTACATTTGACACCTCAACTTTGTTCATCTTCGCCGCCCTCTTGAATATCGCAAAGGCTCCTTTGGCCCTTTTGTTGGTGATCAACCATCTCAGGGACTCTCCCAAAAAGCTAAAAAAGTCAAAACGTGAAAATATCTAACCATTCCCTTTCCTGTAAGTGGTTATTAAATTTGCATTGATGTAACTTCAGAATACTTTTTAAGTATATACTTATTACTGGACAAAATCCATACATCAGAAATTGATAATTATCCTATCTGGTATTGTTGATAACTCAATAACGTGTGGACGAATAGGATTTATCAAATAGTTTCAAAACGAGAAACTAATTAATAATGCAAAATAAATCTTACCATTGTCTTATGTTTTAGTGGCTGTTTCTCAAACTTAAGTAAAAGCGACAAACCCCTTTTCACCATTATCAGAAATCTCTACTTAAAGCAGAGTCTGACTATACCATAAGCATATGTTTATGAGTTACTATCAAATAGGTAGTGTATTTTGCCCCATCGTTGGGACCCGTTACAAACACATGAAAAAGAATGATATGAATATGGATATGAAGCAAGATGAACTCACAAGATGTGTAGAAGTACAGTGATAGACACAGACACAAAACACAGTTGCATGGTTCTCCAGTCCGCATCACGTAACAAGTAGGCCGTCCCTGTGAGGAGTACCGTGCTCATACTCCAAGATAAGGCGTTGAACATAGCCACTTCTAACCGCCTGCTCCTCGGGAACGCTTCCATTAGCATAGTGTAAGTTGTCACAACGATGCCCTGGAACAATGAAAACAAATCCTCATTGAACGGTGCCGGGGGGTGCGACTTTACATGATGCTTACTTTGATACCCTATACGATTTTAACCTTTGGTCACGTGCTTTTAACTCGAACTTGAATACGTATTATTGCTATTATTGTAACCAAGTTGAATAGTGTTCAACCAACGTATGATTAAAACAACAGTAAGTTTATTTTCAAACATGATACTAACTAAAATACATGCATGCAAACACTTACAATGATAGGAAACAAGCAAATTGGTATCTCTACGCCTATTTACGAAATTAACAATATACCCCAGATTCTTACTGTTTTATAAAGAATTAAACAAAAGGGAAGTTACTCTAACCCTATGCCCTCACCTAATTATTACTCAGGCTCGCCCGAAAATGCCCATTGACAATAATTTCACAGTATTCACAGTAAAATTACAAATACTAGTCACTACAATGATGTGATTAAACAACATTACAGTATAAGGAAGTTAACAGGACGAGACGCAGTAGTAACACTATCCCGTTTCAAACAAACATATAAATCATGAGTCAGAATCGTACAGAATCGAAAATGGAAAGGGTTTTGCCGTTTGTATTTATTGAGTTCTTATAGTTGTACGCATTATTCTTATGAAATAAATAAAAGACTTTCAATAAATAATAAGTGCTATTGTCAGGCGCTAGTGTACTTTGACTTGATGTTTTATACTGTTGGTTGGTGGGTGCACTCAGCAATATTCCAGCTATATGATGGCGGTCTGTAAATAATCGAGTCTGGACCAGACAATACAGTTATTGACATCAAGAACATCGATCCACGCAATTGAGATCGATGACATGCATCAACCAAGTCAGCGAGCCTGAACACCCGATCCCGTTAGTCGCCTCTTACGACAAGCATAGTCACCTTTTACGGCAAGCATGGGTTGCTGAAGACCTTTTCTTCCCCGGATCTTCACGGGACCACGACTCATGTGAAGCAGAGATGTAATGAATAAAAGCATAAAAGCAACTTATGTACAACCATTATGTATTTCAATGCAAAGACTCTGCAATGACCAAATTTGCATTTGTCTTCCGTTCATATGATATTCAGTAGTTTAATGTACGCCTTCATCATCGCGCCATTTCCTGCAGTGCCCTCTAGACATATCACATCGGCCATACCAATCGAGGTCATATTTTACTTACAGTAAACTGCAAACTATATTTATGTCAATAGTGTACGTTTACCTGTTGGAAAATTCCATTCACCAATCTCAGAGCAGAAAAAGCTGCGATATTCGGGGCGAACGCTAAAGCAAGCCCCGCGCCAGCGGTCAACACGTGTGACATTACAAGGAAAGGTCTCCTCCCGAATTTGTCCGACATCAGCGAGACCGTGGCTGCGCCAATCCCCTGCCCTACGATGAAGAGAGACTGGGGGAGGCGGGCGAAGAAGACATTCCCGCACACGAGATCCCACTAGAAGTTAAGAAAAATTATATGAGCTTATTTGTATTGACGCTAAAAATGTTTATTGCTGTATTGTCCAGAAATCCAGTATTTATGCACAGCGTATAATCCTATTTGTTTCTGTTGTAGTCGATCTAGCGATATCTATTCTATGGGTAAACGTCTGAGACCTGCATCACTTTGGACTCTCCTCCCACCTTAAGCTGACACGCCGTGATATAGCTGGAATACTGTTAAAAGCGACGTTAAACCCAACTCACTCACTCACTATTCTATGACGCCTTCTGAAAATACCTCTTACCTCCGACACTATTGAATAATCATTCTTGACACCATGCGTCCAGGCATTGCATGTGTGTGTTGTGGTGACGTTGGTGGTGCTGTTTAGTACTGACACGTCACAGGTGCCGTAGTTTGTGTCCGTGCTGTTGCCATACAGTGGAGTCACTTCACACTGTTCTTTTGCATCCTGGGCTATTGCATAACACATGACAATATACCGTTTCTTTAAACTGATTGAAACTAATTTTTATGTATTTAACCTATTTTGTGATAAGGGTAAAAGTTATTTTCGCAAAGTGCTTCCGATTCGTTAATATATATGTTATCTGGCATCGTATGTATGGTCTCAAATGTTGATACCGTTATATTAATGAACAATGAGCTAAACTTACCTATGAACACGAAGTTGAGAAGATGGAAACAAATTGACAGATTTCCAACAGCTAGCAGGACAGCTTGAAACAGCTGATAACGTCCCAGGCTGCCCAGTAGTTGTAGAACGTTGTCAATAGTCCGTGGGGGTTCCACTTTGGTGTCTTCCATGTCGAAACCTTAGATATAAAGATGCAAGATGGTGTTTTCATGCCCAAACAACTGCGACAAGGGTGAGTCACATAAAAAATGATAAAAACATGGTTCTTTCAGTATTACCCTGAGCAACATCTCCAGCCCCAATCCTTCACCTTCCCAGTGACAAGACAAACCGACTGGCATGGCACATAAATGTAGGTTAAACTATCTATGTTAGGAAAGAGGTCGTGGAGTTACACCCACGTTGTCTTACTAAATTCTTGATGCTTCATACATTTTAGACCGCCTCCGTGGTTTCGTGGTAGGGCGTTCGCCCGAAGAGCGGAAGGTACGGGGTTCGATCCCCGACCTCGTCATACTAGAAGGCGTTAAAAGATGGTACTAATGGTTACCCTGTCTTGCGCGCGGCATTAAAGAGGTAAAATCAAGGACTGGTCGACTCGGAGTCAGTGTACTGTGTCCGATGGGGGTATTCATGTTAAACTGCGGCATTGTATCACAGTGGGCTTGCACTAAAAAAAATCGGCCTGACTAGTACAAGCAGCAACACACACACACACACACACACACACACACACACACACACACACAGACACACACACACACACACACACACACACACACACACACACACACACACACATAGAGACACACACATAGAGAGAGAGAGAGACACACACACACACACATAGAGACACACACACACACACACAAAGAGACACACACACGTGCATGCACGTCGCAATAAAAGTGCAATAATCTTGAACGCGACGTGAACCCCATTTCATCTCACCACCTCATACATTGTAAAATGGTTTCTTTCTTACCTGTGGGATTCGTTTATCAGCTGCATTAATAACCGCTGCTTGGATACAAATTGTGTTTCCTCGTCATATTATCTGCCCGAGGGCATTTTCATTGCTCACGTTTGGACGTTCCCTGCATAAATGTGTTTAACTTCGACTCCTGTTATAAATCATTCGTGATAAGACAGCCTTGAGGGGTGATTCAGTAACTGTCAGGCCTCGGTTCTGGGAATTAGCCATTGGGAGCTAGCCTTGAAACAAGAGAGGAGAGAGCTGTGAGGTCCTTAGGGTTTATTCAAGCAAGTGTCATATCATTCAAGTTACATCAATTAATATATAATAGTGACATACAATGATAATAATGATAATAATATGCTAACACAGTGTCCATCTCATAAAGGCATAATAATAAAAGCAATGTAATTAATATTGGAGTATGTACAGTAACATTATACAACAGATGCGGTATTTACTAGTATAATAACGGTAATGCCAAATAACATTTCTTAAAAGCTAAATTGAGTAGACGTAACATTTTAATAGAGCATGTACGGTAGACTGCACAAACTGCTTAGATGAGGAACATGACATTTACTTATGAAAAGACGGTAAACATTAATATTTGTAGTTTCAGTAATAATTATCACAACATAATAATTTCGGCAAATACGGAAAGTAAATACTTGATCCAAATAAAGGTACGAATGTACGCGGTAGAAGATATAGCTCGGTTTTAGTTGTGTAATTATTAGTTTTAGTAGTGATTACTTTGGTGACTACGGTAATGAATCACGGCGGCTGTGTTGCTATTGACTACGCGCATTTCCTAAATATATACGGAGCTAGACGATAACAGCTAATGGAGTGAATACGGTAATTGTATACTTGAACGGTGCGCGTTTGAATGTACGTTATTATGAAGTATAAAAGATGACTTTAACAGTATTTAAATGACTACGATAATGAAATTGTGGTATAGGCTGTGTTGCAGCGTATGCAACTATATGAGGGACGGGACTCTTTACAATATATTCAAATACTTACTTGATGAAGATAAAACCTAAGAAATATGGAATGCGTTGTTATAGCCTATTCTGTAAGCGCACACGGAAGGTAAAGCTGCACATATAACCTTTGATCGGTGGACTGTCGGAAAATATGGAATAACCGACCTACGTATAGAATAAATTTTTGCTTGAAACAATTGCGTTAACTTTAGGAACAGTTTTGTGACTAAGCTACATGTACGCTACGCTACTGCACGGAAATACAAACTGCATATGCATCTGGCATTTTGAACAGATGATGTTAGACATGGAAGGGGAATATAATCATTGATGTCGAAATATAGGAGAGAACTATTGGTGCCGAATATTAATGACACATAAACTGGAGGAGCCCACGACGCATTATACTTCAAACAACACTGGAAAGTGCCTGAGTATTAAACGGTAAATAATATATAATGAACATTCATTTAGAACTTGTACACAGTAGATTGAGAGTAACAATATGGCAGTACTGATTCAACTTAACTATAACATTTTCTACACAATAATAACAATGAAATAAGAAGTTTAGTCATAACATCGGAATATTTAAATGTTTCTTACCTTGAAACAAGAGAGAAGAGAGCTGTGAGGTCCTTAGGGTTTATTCAAGCAAGTGTGCTGAGGACCAACACCCAAGGAGTTATATACCCCCACAGCTCTACTCGTATCACATTAACAATTACTTTTAGTTGTAATTTCGGTCTCTGTTATCTGCCCTGGGCTGTCAAAGTTGACTACACAAAGCCAGGTGGTAATAGAATGGTATCAGTATTGCCTAAGAAGAGTTTATTTTAATTACAGTTTATGTCCCTCCTCTTCAACCTTCACTTTGAAGGAGACAAACATTCAACAAGCATCACTGACACAAATTCTCTTCGCAGTTTTGAATTCTGTGGGAACTTCCTTGTTCTGTCATATAAGTGTGTCATCCGCTATCATATTAGGCAAAGCAATATTACCTCTGAAAATAAGGTACATCGTAAATGTCGCCATTTTTTTACGCTTTCCGAAATCACAATTAACGGCGTTATTTACAGTATGTTTTGAAATCTTATTTTCGGATATTCACTCGGAGAAATTAATTTCAAAAATAGCATATTAGTGATCACGGATATCTGTATTTTATCAAATAACCAATGATCATTCCAAAACGGCGCTGATAACCCTAGAATTTGGAATGATTGGAAAATACGCAAACACGAACGCCGAAGTGAGTTCCCGCCATATTTGGATGGCGTTTACAAAATCGCATTTCGCGTATGCCGGTTATGAGACGCCTATTACATCACGTATATTGTTTGCTGTGCTGACGTCACAGGGGGCACGGGTTGCCAAGTCGTCTAAGGCGCCGCGATTCGCTGTGTAGAGTTGCGTCCCTTGGGCTCGCCAGAAACCTATGATTTTGGGTTCGAATTTGGGTTCGCCCCGATTATGTTCCTAGGTTTGTCAGCACCATACCCGTGCCCGTACCTCTTTCACGGAAGTGGTAAAGGTCCGAGACCTGCATCACTTCGGGCGTTCCTCCCACATTAAGCTGACACGCCGTAATATGACTGGAATACTGTTTAAAACGGCGTTAAACCCAACTCACTCACTCACTTACGTCACAACAAGACTAACGAAGGTTTTGAGGTTACTCGTGGTTTAATGCCATGCTGGGCACTCCGGTGTATTCCGTGCTAAATATAGATTTGCGTAATCATGGTAATGTTGGTTTTTTGTTTAACGCTGCACTCAGCAATATTCCAGCTATATGACGGCGGTCTGTAAATAATCGAGTCCGGACCAGACAATACAGTGATTAATATCATGAGCATCGATCCACGGAATTGGGATCGATGACATGCATCAACCAAGTCATCGAGCCTGACATCCGATCCCGTTAGTCGCCTTTTACGACAAGCATGGGTTGCTGAAGACCTATTCTACCCCGGATCTTCACGGGTCCATGGTAATGTACATGTACCAAAATATTCCATTCTTTTAAAAAAAAATTAACTTGTTGGAGAAATACTATTAATACTGAAAGAAATCCAATTATCACGCTCCTCCTGTTGTGTGGCTAAATATGCTCATCATGTCCCACATGTCTGTATTGTGTCCTTGATTTCTCCTGACATTCCAGGCCAGAATATTATATCTCTAGCCAGACGAACGCATGCTTCTTCGCCTAGGTGACTGGTATGAGCTTTTGTCGATCATTTGAGCCCCAATGACGGACGGGATAACCGCCGTCATCCCTTTGTCTAGGACGCCCCCTTGAACTGTTAATTCATCGCGAACTAGCCATCCCGTATGCAGTTTGGGACACCATCTCTTAACTCTCGCCAGCCTGCTATGACTGTATTCAAAATCGTCTTGTTAGTTCGGGTCTGAACTTGTGCATCTCTTGATCAGTGCATGTGTGCCTTCTTAGAGACGCATGTACTCTCCCTGATTAAATTAGGAGAGATACAATATGGAATAGCCCGACATCCCCAGGCTTTGCCTAAACCTCGACAGGGCCTGACATCACTCACTTCACACTTCACTCACATCAGAGCCCCTTTCTCACGGTTGTTAAATACAATCGCTAAAAACATAGAAAGATGTTAGACACTTTCTACCATCAAATGGCCTGTCTTTATTTGCATATATCACTGATACACCCTATCCTTCCATCGTTTGTACCTTATAATCAAATGTCTGCAGCGACCAGAACTGGGATAAACAGTGGATAGTTTCGTAAAGCTTTCGGTTAACTGTAAAACGTTTGGCGATATATACTAGTATGCGGAATATGATTTAGCTTATACTATTGTGGGGAACCATACTGAATATGATCCTTTATATATTTACATGTTCCATTTCTTATGTATAACCCACATTAAATTCTCCATTATAAATTGGAAACAGCTTGAAGGTTTAATATTAAATTTGTGCTTGTCAAATATTCTGAACCGCAAAAGAAACGTCACCCCAAGTAACATTGCATGAAAAGTTGTCTTTTAAATATCTGGGTATTTTTTTGTCAAATCTCTAATTTAACATTACCTTGTCCGGAAAAATGAAATGTGATGATAAAATACAAATTGGACAATAAAACCGATCGCCCAAACGCATAACGGCAACGGCCATGGTAACCCGATGCACGTAAGTTCCGTGCAAATTGAAATGCACATACGTTCCCAAATTTCTTGCCCTATAAAAATCCACCCA